AGACTTAGTGTCTGCAATTCCTGCTATAATTTCTAATATGACAGTTTGTAAACGAAGTTTCACCTTAAACTACAATGGGAGGTTATACAATATAAAAAGTAAAATTAAATTATTTAATCTTCTCTGTCACAAATGTCTGGGTTTAGAATTGATTATATCCCATTAGCATTTAGACAGTCTGTCCAACCCCCATTCTCCTTATCACTTGGTTTGTATATACTATGCATTCCTTTAGCTCTGGGAAAGTGGTTAGTTTTACAGATAGAAATCTTGTTTCTTTTGTTAGCTTCAAAATAACAAAATGGAGTCTGCTCTGTTTAGAGTGACTTAGCATATACACTTTTAATTTCTATCATAGCACAAGATGTCTGCCGATATAAATACTCTGACACTGTCAAAGAGTGTGTGTCTGTGTATGTATCTGTGTCAAGGTTTGTGTATGTGTCCATGGGTGCATCTAAGTGTGTGTATGTGCCAGTATGTATCAGTGTGTTTGTATGTGCCTGTGTGTGTATATGAGTGTGTCAGTGTGTATCTGTGGGTGCAAGTGTGTGTATGTCACTGTGTGTACCTGAGTGTGTCAGTGTGTATCTGTGGGTGTGTATTTGTGAGTCAAGGTGTGTGTATCTGTGTGTGTGTATACCTGTGTGTCAGATACGGATACACACTGACACAGAGATACACACACTGGCTCATACAAACACAGATATACACACCTTGACACACACCGGCACATGCAAACACAGATACACACACCGTGACACACAGATACATACATACACAGATACACACTGTGTGTCAAGGTGTGTGTATCTGTGTGCCACTATCTGCCAGTGTGTGTATCTGTGTGTCAGATACATACACACTGGCACATACAAACACAGATTCACAGACTTTGAAACAGACGCACACACCTTGACACACAGATAGATACATACATACAAATACACACAGATTCACACTGTGTGTCAAGGTGTGTGCATCTGTTTCAGTGTGTGTATCTGTGTGCCACTATCTGCCAGTGTGTATCTGTGTGTGAGATTCATACACACTGGCACATACAAACACAAATACACACACCTTGACACACAGATAGATACATACACACACACAGATACACACTGTGTGTCAAGGTGTGTGTATCTGTCAGTGTGTGTATCTGTGTGCCACTATTTGCCAGTGTGTGTATCTGTGTGTCAGATTCATACACACTGGCACATACACACACACCTGCACATTAAAAAAAACTTTTTTTTCGTGGGGGGGGTAGGGGTTCCACGATGTTGATACACTATGTCAAAGGGTTCCATGGGAAAAGTTAATTGAGAACCCTGATTTAGGGAGTTCCAGCACCCTCTTCTTATAGATGGATATCAAGAACTCCCCATGGAAAGTGTAAATTATTTATTTAATCAAATATTTAAAAACTGAAAATAAAACAAAAAACAAAACCCAATTGGGTATATAGTCTTCCAATTAGAAATTAAATCCTTGTATGTTATGTTTTTGCAAATATTTATCCAATTGCTGTTTAAACATCTGTATGGACTCTATTAAAACCACCTCTTCAGGCAGAGAATTCCATATCCTTATAGTTCTAACTGTAAAAAAATCATTTATTTTTTTTTGCCTTAAGTTAAATCTCCTTTCTTCCAGTCTAAATGCGTGACCTCATATCCTATGTATAGCCCTGTTTATGAATAGATTTCCTAGCTATCCTAGCTATAAGATAAGGCCAGGGACTAATGAAAGTATTTAGAAAATTGGGCAGACTAGATGGGCCGAATGTTTCTTATCTGCCATCACATTCTATGTTTTTATGTTTCTATTTCCAGATAATGGTTTGTACTAGTCCCAAATAAATTTGTATAATGTTATCAGAGCCCCTCTGAGGCTGTGATAACAAAGAGATTTACATTTTTTAACCTTTCTTCATAACTAAAATACTCCATTCCTTTTATCAATTTTGTCCGTGCACTTTTTCAGTGTGGTCTTACCAGTGATTTATAAAGAGACAACATTTTATAACATGACAGGAGGCTTCATATTTGCTTAAGTCTCTCTTTACTATAACTCCACAGCAGCACATTAACATAGAGAGAAAATCATAAAAGGCCCCTCTCAACTAACTATTGCCTCTTTCTTTGCTGCTCCCCATCAAGCACAGGTCAGAGTATGGAAGAAAACAAACAGTTAACTGTCAGTGCTATAATGCACACAGTACCCTAGGTTTATAAGTGTTCCCTTATAAACACTCAAATAACAACAGTGACAAGAAAAAGAAAAAACCAAAGGTACAAAATAATGTGAATCACCAAAAGTGATAATAAATAAGTGAATACAAACTGGATTATGTTGGTATATTTTAGATTCAGAATTATATCTGTAAAAAATACACAAACAATATATAGTGTAATATTGTTAGAGCCACTTGGAAATTATGGGTGGTAAAGAACTCACAAAAATAGGATGAGATCAGGCATATCTCCCTCTGTATTAGGGGACTGGAAAATATGAAGGACCTCCAGCGATGATTCCAATTGTATAATAGCAGCAAATCTTCTAATTCACTCCAAATGGAAAGAAGAAATAGAAATAGATAGTGCAGATTGTATAAAGAGTAACAATTTATTACATGTATTGCACTTACAATGTATCAGAATAAAAGCAGCTTGTCTCCACACTGGGTGGTATTCATTTGTAGCAACTGAACCAATCAAGATACAGGATCCGGAGCAGTAATAACAGCAACCAAACAATATTAAAATTCAATACAAAAACAAAATAAAAACAATTCCAATGCGTTTCGTCCTCCTCTGGACTTCCTCAGGGATGTGTAGCTGTGATTGTTTTTGAGAATCTTCTTATATATCCGCCTTCTAATCGCTCAAATGTTCGCCGGTGTTGGAACCGTGGTGTTCCTATTTGCCACCGTGGAACGCATGATACTTCCGCATGACGTCACTTCCGGTTTCGCGGATAGAGTGAATTATATCAAATATATCAATATAACAACTCGAATAACGTTTGCAACACGAGATTACAGATGTGAAATATACTACACTACAAAATATACCAACATAATCCAGTTTGTATTCACTTATTTATTATCACTTTTGGTGATTCACATTATTTTGTACCTTTGTTTTTTTCTTTTTCTTGTCACAGGTCAGAGTATCACTGCCTCCTGTTACTTTGGGTGGCTGTGGATATTTTATTACATATTTTATTTTTATTGTATTTCATATTTCTGTGTTCTGTATTGCTATCTGCTGTGTGGGGGGTTTTGTACATGATTCTTCCTGTTTGGGGCTTATTCTGTGGGCTGTTTCTTCTGGTTTTGCAACTGGGGTAGCACTGCTTCTTACCCCTCTCTCTAACCCTGCCCAGTTTGTTGTCTTGCCCTACCTACCCCTTCTTCACCCCTCGCTTGTTTTCTTGTGTTAGCTGGGTTGAGGTCCTCTGAATGCCTCCCATTGCCTATCGCGGAGTAAGACTCTGGCGGTTCCACGTGCCTTTTCTGGCTCTCACCCTGCCCACACTCCAGCCCGCGGTGTCGGTTTGACCGCGGCTTGGGTAGGGCGATGTGTGCGGTAGTGTGGGAGAAAGCTGTCTACGTGGGAGCGACTTCTCCCGACCGCCTAACTCTCACCCTCCCGCGACCTCGGTGCCTTAGTGCCGCTAGCTCATATAGTATTAGTGCACGTTACTTTGCCAATTTTAAAGGTGTATGCATTAAATATATTTGCTGTATGTCTGCATGTTTTATAGCCATTTAGAGTGCTGTATTGCTGCCCATTTCACTGCTCTGCTGACTCATAATGGCTGCCATAAGACTGGTGGTAGGGGTTACATTTGGCCTGCCCTCTGCCGTGCAGCCTTCCCTGCTTACTGCAATTTCTAGGGATTCTATATACATGCCTGAATACCTGCCCCCAAGCATGTTTCCTGCAAACTCTGATTGGCCTGCCTTGACTGTGCCTCTATTTGGCCTGCGCGGTCTGTGCCGTGTGGCTGGCCTGCTTTGGCTGTGCCCTGAATTGGCCTGCTTTGTCTGTGCCCCTTGATTGGCCTGCTCTGGCTGTGCCATTATCTATGTACGCCTGGCGGCTCTGTGAGCCCACTTGGACCCTGCATGCGCCAACTGCTTGCCTCTGCCATTAGGGGTGCTGCCCCATTTGCATACTAGTGACACCTGTCCTCTGTACCCGTAGGTGTCACATTACACACGACTCCTTGATCACGGAGCCATCTGCAAGCCATGATTAATCTGCAAGCCACGATTAATGCGGCAGTGGCAGCCTCCGTGGAAAAGACCCTGGGCTAGGGTCATCCCTCAATGGGGTGCTAGGGAGTCCTCCCAGATGGCTATTGGAAGGGTGAAGGCCCTGAACCACGCTCCGGAAAAGGCAAGACTCCGGCGAAGCGCCATGGCCCGGCGTCATGGCCAGGCATTGTCAGCCTCTCCGCCCAGACACCGCCGCCTTCCATGGTCATCCTGGACGAATGGCAGGCGGACCAGTCCCCATCGGAGGGCGAAGTTGAGTGTGACGAGGACCTTGGGGACGAACCTAAGTGGCACTATGAGGCGGAGAGCCACGGACGATGACACTTTCTTGGACGCCACGAGCGAACCATTCGACACCCCAGGTCCTCCGAATGGTCCCTTCCTGATCACTTGGCACAATTCGTGCATTACTGGGTTCACAGACCTCTGGATTGGGAGGTTCACAGAAAACTCTGGGCTGAATGCGCCAGGCCTGCCCTGCCGGATAAGGTTGCCACGACTCCGGAATTTGATTCCCTGGTGTTTACATACATGACCTGTACTGGACGTGATCCCAAGAAAGGGCTTGGTGCAGGACAAATTGCTTGATATGCTGGGCCCCCTATGCAGGATGCTAATGTTGGCAGATGAGGCCTACTCGGAAGGGGCTGCCCTGAACCGATCTGCCATGCGGGACTGGGCTTTGCGGTCTATTTGCCTGCTGGGCAATAACAACATGGCGCTCTCCACGGAACACAGAAAGACGGTTCTTTTAAGAATGGACAACAAATTATCGGATTTGGGGTCGAATGAATTGGGACTCTTGGTTAAAGGGCTCCTGTTCAGGGAACCGTTCATAAAAGAACTACACAAGGACGACAGCTGGGGATTCCGTGGACCATCATTCTTCCCGTCCTACCAGGCCCGGCCTTTCTACTCTCAGAGGTCGGACAGAGGTAGAGGAAATTGTGACAGAGGACGTGCAAGATTCTCTTCAGGTTAGAGTAACTCTGGCCATTCCTACCTTTCCCCACGACCTACTTCAGCTGGCTCCCCGGATCCAGCATGCTCAACGGTGGACACTTTCCTTCAGAGGTGGCTTTCACATGCTCTTGGTGGCCTGGACTCTTTCAGGGGAGCCTGGAATTTCAAGACGTTATCGCAGTCGGCTAAGGAACTTCTCTAGGACTCACGGGACCTTGGGACTAGGAGATGTTATTTATCAGCATGGGGCTCCTGGTGTTGTTGGTGTCTGGAACGGGATACCAATCCCTTTATGGGCCCTCTAACCAGCGTGTTGAACTTTCTGTCCCACCTGTTTGACCAGGGTCGATCGTATCGTTTGGTTAATGTGGCGAGATCGGCAATTTCGGCGGCCCATGTACAGCTTAGGGGCTTGCCCATTGGTCAGGATCCGTTGGTCTGCAGACTTCTTCGCGGTATGAGACTGTCGAGACTGCCTCTGCCTAAGTATTCCTCCCTCTGGGACATCCGCGCGATTTTGTCGTTTCTCCAGGATTGGCCTGATAATCAACTTTTGGCTAAGTTTGCCCTCTTACTATGCCTTATTTCTTTCAGATGTGTTTCTGATGTCCGAGCCTTCGATGTCAACGCTTTTTCTTTCTCTCCGGAAGGGGTCACTTTCAGGGTGTCTAGGCGTACTAAGTCAGATTCATTTTTTTAATCCATATTTTCGCAACTCGCCTAAGCTCTGTGTAGCGACTACCCTGTCTCGTTATGTGGCGGTAACTGCTCCTTTTCGGTCTGCTCATTCCGATCAGTTGTTGAATTCTTATTTCAGACCTCGCAAACGGGTCTCGTCCCCTACTCTGGCGCGTTGGATTAAATGGTTATTGGCTTTGGCGAGGGTGAATTCGGCGCATTCGGTTAGAGGCGCGGCGGCTTCTGGAGCCTTCCTGGCGGGTGCTTCCCTTCAGGACATCATGCATTCAGCTGACTGGTCTCACGAGGATACCTTTCGCCAATTTCACTTTAGACCATCGGATCATGCTTCATTTGCTTTGCTGTCGGAGCATTAAAACAGAAAATATGAAGCCTCCTGTCATGTTATACAAATATGAAGCCTCCTGTCAAGTTATAAAATTGTAGATTATACTAGCTTTAGTGTAACTATAATCTTTATTTTATTAATGACAGTAGGCGAATATTTCCCTCCCAGTTTCACCCTCCTCTTATTTGTTTTTATTGACCTATTTTGTATTAGTCTGTTATCCAGGACTGTGGTAGATGGGTCAGATAATTGTTGATTTTGGGGAAGTCAGAGTGTGTTTTCTGGGATGTTGTACGGTCAGTAGTTGATTATGGGTACTCATGTTTTTCACAGTACACTTCATTCACTAATCAGAGTTTTCGACTCTGTTTGTCTCGTTTCAGTTTAATGGTTCGTCTACACGTTCAGGTTCCAGATATTCTTCCGTATAACGTTCAAGGCATCATCTACTGATCCACATTCGTTTTGAGTTTCAGATGACAGTCATCGGCTGGTTTCGTTTGTTTCTTCCTCCATTACTATTGAGTTATATTTCATTCATGTACTTTGTTTTGTCGCAGCTTGAAAGAGGAAATAGATAGTTGGGCGTTGCCTTTTATGTTTTCCTTACTTTTTTTTTAATGGTTTTCTCTCTATGTTAATGTGCTGCTGTGGAGTTCTAGTAAATTGAGACTTACGCAAATATGAAGCCTCCTGTCATTAATAAAATTAAGATTATAGTTACACTAAAACTAGTATAATCTACAATTATATTTTCATCCTGAGAATGTATGCCCCTATTTATACATGACAAAACCTTACTGGCCTTAGCAACTGCAGATCTTGTTGTGTCTTAGGTGTGGGTTAAAGGGATCCCCCACGTATTACCATTAACACTGTGAACTTTTTGAATTTTCATAGTGTGTGTAGTGCATATAGTGTGTGTTTTTTTTTTTTTAATTCTTTATTTAGTAGTGCATAAAGATGCACCACAATGCGAATGTGGTACCCCGACAGCATTCCACATGCTTTTCCATGACAGTTATAACATTGGGGAACATAGTAAAACTTGCACAATTTTATATTAATATGAAAGGTCAGCTATATTACCAGTAGCTTAGATGTGGGTTCAATACTTGAGACAAGAGAAAGGTAGGTAAGGTTATGCATATAGATTGTCAATCAGTGGTTCCCTGAGACATGTTAAGATTGTAACTGTGCATTTTTAAGTAGTTTGGGAATTACCAAGGTTAACTGTTGAGGCATATGATGTTGACAAAACATACTGTGAGAAGACTGGCAAAATAAAAGTAACAGGCTGGCTATACATGGTGCCTAAAACAATTTAGCTTGGGATCATATAACTATAGGTGATCATATTTTGCTAAGCAGGAGTGGTTGCATTAACTGAGTGAGTAGCATCATAGATGGTACATGTAATGTAGTACAACGCTAGCGACACCATTTAACTTGTGCATGTGCTTGTTTGAGGTTAGACTTTTTGCTTATATGATATGACCTGCTAGGGTAGAGTCGCTTATTATGCAGTTTAACCACCCGCTGGTGCTTGCGCTGCCCCACCAGGGCTGAGGTGAGTAAGGCATGCTTAATAAAATAAAAGGAAAGCAAGTGCTTAAATATTAATATGAAACAGTAAGTATGAAAATATATGAAAGTAGAGTCTCATGAGTATTCAGGTGCGGTTCACCTCGTTCAGTATGCTGTGGTAGGTATGTTAAACTGTTAAGGTCTGATCATTTGCTGGTAACCTCGTGTTAGACAGTCCCCTTATCATGGGTACTTCACCCAATGCCCTGGCTATGCACCGCTCGGAGATAGTCGCTCGATCTCACCATCTGGGCCGTGCTGATGTCTAGGGGGTTACTTTCTGGGTTCCACTCAGGTTGTCCTCCATGTTGTAGCAGTGTCTTTTCTCCCGGCAGATGAGGGCCAGGGTGCTGTGTCTTGCTCTGGATTTTCTTCCTTGGGCTTAACGTTGCCCCTCTGCTTTTCTTGTTTTGGATGGTTTGCCTCGTCTTCTGTGGTGTCGCTTGAGTGTCATGGTGCTGGGCATCCGGCCGCGGTTTCCGTGTAAAAGGGTCAGTGCTGTGTGGCGTAGCCTGCGCTCCAGCTGCTTCCAGAAACGTTCAAAGTGTCCTTTGATTCTTGCCTGAACATCACATGCAGCATCAGTGGGGCTCTCAGCGCCTGTAGTTTCCGCCATCTTGGGCGAAGCTCTGCACTCGCATTTTGCCCACGAGACGGCCCGAGTCTCTTTGGTCTGTCTTGATTCGTCTCCGCTGGGTGGAGCGTGATCTCCCCCACCGGTCCAGAGGGGGGGTAACGGGGCTTGTTCATCGTGTCGTCGGAGCGTCTCCGGGTTGGGAAAGCGGCATTCTCTCCCGCCCGTTGTATGCTATGCCGCGCTGTCGGACGTCGTTTCGGCGGGTCTCGAGTGGGTCTTTACCCTCACACTGCATGCCCTCAGTTGTACTCGTAGAATTTGGGGAATATTAGATGAAATTCACCTTTGAGAGGTTACTTCAAATCTTTATGGCCTTAGAGGCCAAAAAGGATTTTAACAGACTTAAATAAAACTTCCTGGAGGAGCCTTTGGAATTTCAGATGCCTTTTTAAAGCAGACTATGGCTCTCTATTCTAATCCAAGGGCCAAATGAAAGGTCTATGATCAAATTCTGACTTAACATCAAAAATAGTACAAGACATCGGCGGGGCCGGACTCCCAAGATGGTCGGGAGTGCTTTACTCTAGCTCCAGCATTTGGGAACAAACTCTGGCTTCTAGCCACACTGACCAATTTGATAACAGAACGGCGGGTATACCACAATGACGGGCGGCTACTGAAGCCTGCACAGCCACGCTGAGCCAACCTTCTAACTCGTCCAGACCAGCGGTATCCCGAGATTGTCGCTCGGTAGCGGGAGAGGCGGCCGATCTCCCGGTTCCAGAGGCGCATCTTGCAGCACACCTCTTGCAAGGCTTGTTCCCCCACCTTTGGCACTCTGATCCTGAGACAGAGATTCACCTGTAAGAAGTTACTCAAATCGTGTGTAGAGACCAAGATGGCCGCCATGTCGGTTCTTCAGTACTGCCACACATGCTCTGAGAGTCAAGATTGGAGAGCCTCGTTCAACTCCAAATTTGATGTAGTCTTCAAGGCATTCTGGCACTGAATAAACAAACCGAAGATACTCACTCCTCCTTTTACTCTGATGCCCAAAGCAGCAGACTGTACCATCAGTTCCACTTCTAATCTGAGGACCCACCTGGAGGACTGCCCAGGCAGCCGTCCATACACCTAAAGAGGTGCCAGAGATTTGGGGCCCAAGATTCTACCACCTGGATGTTGTATAACTTGAGAGAAATCCACTCTGCGTGGTGTATTAATGGTGAATGTAATATCCCTGTGTCTCCTCTTCCAAGAACTAATGTAATATCCCTGTGTCACCTTTTCCAAGAACTAACATATATCTTTATCCCATTGTCCAGATAAATATATGACTAGCACTACTAAGGTATTCTACCCAATATTATAAATAATCAGCCAACACTATAGTTGTTACCAGAGAGAAAACTACTTAGAATCTGCCCAGTTAAATATTACAGAATTAGAATGTTACAGAGTTATAGTATTACAGTTACAATACATTCATAACACTCAAACATTCCATCTATCTAATAATACCTGCTACATTGTGTATGTGCCGTGAGATGTTGTGTGCAGGGTGTGTGTGTCTTACAAACCTAGTCTAATGTGATGTCAGTATCTTCTCTATTTAAAGGAATTTGTTCCCATGTTGTAATTGGCCAATTCCACAGCTCAATTGATATGTAAATGTAATTTACTTTCCCAAGGCCCAAAAAGTTGTTTTAATTAATTTGCGTGTAAACTCTCCCAGCCATCCCCTTGCCTCTACCCTAAGGTGTGTTTTCCTAGATAGAGACTCCTTTGAAGACTAGTTAATATGTAAATATGATAAACCTTCCCAAGGATGTAGCTGTGCCTTTCAGGTGCTGTATCTTTCTAACTATCTAAACATAAACTCCCTTTGAAGATAATTCCTGATCTCCCATTCACACAGACTTAATCAAGCACATATTAATTTTATATATATATATATATATATATATATATATATATATATATTCATAATATTTCTCCCAACACTGGAGATGGAGGATCTATAGATATTGAGCACAAGCCTCCTTTAAAGCCCAGAGCTGGGATTTCAGGCAATGTGGACTTATACACTCTATGTCCCATGATACCCAGCAGGCCTGAGATGGAGGAAGAGAACACCATCAGTCCTTACATAGCTCTGGACTTAAACATATGACCTAGAGTTAAGGAATCCAGACAAACAGAGTGATGTCCCCGAGTTTCTCATGTGGAGAACTCTGCTTACATTCTGTGTCTTTTGTTAATATCCATCTTGTGTCCCATAACATTCAGATTAAGGAGCCCAGTGGTTACATATTCTTTAATTCAGTCTGTCAAGTTTTAATCAGTTTGCATTCGCATATATTGTCCAATCATGATTTAATATTTCATATTATTAGTTATCCCCATGTCTTATAGCAACCTTATTCAGCAGTAAGTTTGAAATACCAGCTAGGACTAGACATGTATATTTAGCTTGATATTTCCCCTGTAGTTCTTTTATGGTTTTTCAAGTTTGGAAAAGGAAAATAAAAGTGCTGCAAATTGTGACTATATATATATATATATATATATATATCTTGCTATTCTCTCTCATGCTAAATGTCATTACTGGAACATGTATTTTACTGTGCACTTCAAAAATAAAGAATTAAAAAAATAGAAATAAATACATAAATGGTACAAGACAAGGTTGTCCTCTGATGCCTTTACTTTATGCTTTGTCTATAGAACCGTTAGCAACATATATTCACAGATCAGATTGACCAACAAGAACACTTCATCAATCTGTATGCCGACAACATACTTCTAAACTGTGCATGCCCAGAAATCTCTGTTCCTAGTGTCTTAAGGTTAATTGAAACATATGGCTTATATTCAAATTATAAATTAAATCTGTTAAAAAAATATTTTGTTATATCTAACAGACACAATCTCAATTGTTTAAAAGTTCTGTTCAAATAGATTGGTCAAACAGGAGGATAGACTGTCTAGGGATTAAAATTAAGGATCAACCGATTATCGGTCTGGCCGATATTCCAAATTTTCAGCAATATCAGGCCTATAAAGATACTGATATGGCCGATAATGCAGACCAGGGCCGCCATAAGGGCATGACAACCGAGATGGTAGTCATGGCCCGGGGTTCCTGGAGGGCCCGCAGCACATTCTTACTTGCCTTCCCAGCAGCTCCCTTAACCTCCCCTGTCTAAATCTTGCAAGTCCCACGGCCGTCAGAGCATTGCAACTGGTTACCATGGCAACGCTCCGCACGGCACACAGAACAAAGTGTTGCTGAGAACACTCATCATAATTTAAGAACTCATTTTATATAGTCATTAGATCCCAGATATTCAAGAACAATTATTATGGATTTATGTTAATTTTTTTTTGTGTCCACATTTATCATACACAAACTATGCAAGGACTGTACTATTCTTGCTGTGATATTCTTAATTTATATTATTTTAATTAACTCAATTTTTAGAATTATAATAAAATAATTTTTTTCTATAGACCATATGTATAGGTTTCATGGATATGTTAAAGCTCCAATTACTCTTTTTCTTACTAAGGATATACATTTTTGTATGTTGTTATATTTATTTGGTTTTTATGAGTCTCTTATACAGTTCCTTAATCATATTTCCTAACTATCATATTAATACATCAGGTTTTATGCATTTTTTTAGCACATCCTGTCCAATTATACTCTTTACACATATATCTTCTATCACTCGCTAATTCAGAGAAAGAATTTTTACAGATGAATAATTTACAATCCATGTACCCTTGATATTCAAACCCTGTTCCCTTTGGCTAAAGATGTAACTATATTTTTTCCTCTTCTGCTACAGTCACAATGTCGCAATTGGTTTTGTTATTATGTTTCCTAAGTGATTACATCTCAACCCCATTACAGATACTAATAAGGTTGTACAATCATTATTGTGTAGATATGTTGCCTCAATAACTGCAAGGCACTGCACTCCAATCAACTACGATGTTAATTTACTCTATAAATAAATATAACTTTCGTTTTTGTTCATTCACATGAAATATTGAATATTAATTATTTTTCCTGCAAGGATTATCTTGCGATAATAGAATCTTCCACACTGATATCTTTTAAATCAGGTAACAGAACTTTATACTATTCTTCCCTTTTTCCTATTCTACATAAAATAAATAACCAAATAATGCACTCTCCTAGATGCAGCTAGATACAAAATAAGTCTATTACTAAGAATGCAGTGGCTCTTGATTACAACGCAACAAAAAAATATATATTAATTGTTTTTTTTTCCCTTACATTATAACTTCCAAAAACAATTTTTGAAATATTTTAGAAATATATTAACTGAAGTTAAAAACCCTACTTGCATTGATCTCACTACGATCACTTGTATAATAATATGTCCTATTTATATGTTGTTTTTAATATTGATGTACAAGATTATACAACACAAAAAATGTATTTGTAACTTGATCATATGTACCTAGATTTTTATTAGAAGTTTCTAATGTTATGTCTAAGCTGGTCTTTACATGAAAAGCCCTGCCACAGAAGGGCATGTGTAACTTTAAGAAAAAAATTACCGATATTGCACTTGATCAAGATAGATATATATATATATTGTAACGGAGCTCCCTGTACTCCGACCGAGTACCCTCCGTTGACGGATGCTCCTAGCGCTTCCTGAGGACTCCCAAGCACTGCAGCAGACACCACAACCACCGCAGACTCCGCAACCGCCGTATCTTGACTGGAGTCTCGCCGTCTTCCTTCCACCCTGGATCAGCTTCTGTCCTCCAGGACTGTGTGGGAAAGAACTCTTCCTTCCACCCTGTATGAACCTCCAGCATCCAGGACTGTGTGGTGAAGACCCATCCTCCAAGGAGAGCGTGTCAGGAACAAGCACATTTTTAAAGGGGTGGGGGGAGACAATATTTAACAGTAAATATCTCACCTGCCTGCAGAATTAGCAATATGCAAATCTACCCGAATATGCAAATGAACCAGTCTTGCAATTCAGGTAGTGCATATTGCTGTTGCTACCAACAGAGGGCACAAGACAAGCTCCATAGCCAAACCCACCTAGTTGGTAGCAAACCTCAGCAATACAAGAGAGCAGGCAATACATTACACAGTACACACACACACACACTATAAACAATTACATAACACACACCTTGCACCTATAATGGGTACAGGGTGACTAAAACATAAGATAAATAAAGCAGCCTACATAAATAGTCTGTCTGAAGGTAGACTAGGGGCTTTAAAGCCAGATACATGAAAGAGTCATAGAAACAGGGGAGGAGGCTGGCAAGTAGGCCTCTCCAGGACCAAGTGGCGAAGGGCACTTCGTCACATATATATATATATATATATATATATATATATATATATATATATATAAATACCACAACAGAAGGTCAACTCACTATCTAGAAAAGGCCTGCCTAGTACGGGTGAAACACGTTGATGAACTGAGGAAAAAGGCATTCACTTACCGGTATCAGCAGAATACTTCAGCGGTGCTAAGTTACAGCATCCCTCCGTTCCCGGCTTCCAATACTACGGCTTGAGGAAGAGACTTCTTATCGATTCAGCTGCTCCGACGGAGTGGTAAACGTTTCCATCCATACACTGCCTATCTGCTTGTACTAGACTTTACAGTGGTTATTACAACTTTTTAACCACATTCTTTTACAGGTTTTTTTTTTTTTTTACAAATTTGAATAAACTGTTGTTTTTACCATATACTATCCACAGTATCATTTTAATAGGATAACTTCTCAATATTAAATTGTGGATACACAATATAATCCCATCGTGGTAATAACATCAAAAATACGGTGATCTACCCTGATATTTGATACCCACCACTGTGAAGGTGGGAAACAGACTTTGCACTGAAGAACTTAAGTATTTATTTTCTTATATAAAAGGGTGAAAGAGAGCGCACAAAAAAGATATACAATAATACTTATAAGAGAATGGTACTAAGTACCTCTAGATAATAGCTGCTAAACAAAAAATGAACTTCCCAAATTCAATAAATAAATTGTAAGATATTGTGTTGTCAGCGCTTAGTGAATAATCCCCTTAGATATAATCAGGGGTAAATGTCTTAACAAATATATCAATAATAATTAGAAACAGCAAGAGCATACAGTGTTAAGAGTATCAATATAACTGATAGTAACAATCAGATTGTAACAAAAAATCTAAATTGTATCTCAGTCCAGTATAAAATATATAGCAGGGTCCAAAGTGACAGGAACACAATCTTTGACTTTAAATCCCTTAAAAAAAAAAAAAAGAAAATATATATAGTGCACTACTGTATTTAATGTCTTAAAACAGCAATGGAATCCCCCTCCCCAACATAGGAACCCTTACAGAAGAAAAATGTGGTGCTTATCTCTAAGGACCACAATAAAAGCTTATCTGGCTGCAGTCTTATCTCTCCTCTGCTTATGCAGCTGAAAGGAGCGTTTGCCTTGTGCACTGAGGCAGGCTGTGGATTCAGTGAAAGTTCTCCTCTTTGTAGTTCTGCCTCCGGTTGGCACAAAAACGTGTCATGCAGAGTGTTAGCAGCAAAACAAGATAAAATGCAGGATGATGGAGCACCTAATCAACGCGTTTCGCCCCTCTTGGTGGGCTTTTTCAAGATAGGTGTTATGTGTGCTAATCGGCAGTTAAATACCTTTGCCGGGAAAAGCACATTTGAATTTTTAAAGATACATGCATTTTTATACACAACAAATCTTATAACAGGAAAAAGGTCCTCATAATGATAGATTGTGGATTATACATCCTTCTGAATGCAGCAATACATAAAAACAATTTGTGCATACTAGAACAATTTATACACAATAAAACAGACTTATTTATACATGTTAAAACAAACCAATACTTGCTGTAGAACATGTATAATTACATATATATCAATCAATATATTCACACATACACATTACAATATATATCAATCAAATTCCCCTAGAAATTCAACAAAATCCAGACAGATGAAGAGAGACAATTCATACCAATATACACCCCAGAGAGTTAATGAAAATGGGTGGACTTTGGTCTCTCGGAACAATAATAAATACAAAAGAGTCTCAGATAGATTCCAGCCAGAACGAAATACAAAAACAACAAGCGCAAAAGACTCTAGCCAGGGCCGTCTTTAATATTGATTGGACCCCGGGCAAGCATCTGTTTGGGCCCCCTGGGCATGCAATCACCCTCCACCCCAACCTAGAGGCGAAACTAATGTAGAGAGTGCCTTGGTGCAACAAAAAAAAAATTCAGGCCTGCCCTGTAGCACAAGAGTAAAGAAAAGATAGATCCCCATCTGTCATACAACTCCTGCGATGCTATGCCAGCTGGGGATCTACCATCCTTGCAGGGTTGTATTTTTGAGCAGTGTTTGTGCAAATGAATGTCAGCATGTTATTGTATAGAGTGTATGTGTGCATGTAGGAGTGTATTTGTATGTACTGTTACCATTGGAATGCAGTGGTGTACTTGTGTGTAGTGTTTGCATTTTAATGCAGGGATGTGTGATTGTTTGTAGTGTTGGCTTTTAAATGCAGGTGTACTTTTGTGTGTAGAGTTGGTTTTTGTATATAATTTTAGCGTTTTAATACAGGAATGTGTTTGCATGTAATGTTTGTATTTGCATGCAGGGGGGTGTTTGGATGTAGTGTTGTCTTTTAAATACATGTGTACATTTGTGTGTAGTATTAGTGTTTCAGCAAACTGGTGTGTTTGTAATGTTTGTGTTTGCAGGGGTCTGTTTGCATGTTGTGTGATTTCTATAACACATATACACATACACATTAACACGCAGATACACACATGCTCACACTGACACATGCTCACACCTTGACACATACTGGCACATACACATACACACACACTCAGATACACACCCTTTGACACACAGATACAAGCACTTTGATATACACACACTGGCACATACACACACACACTGACACAGGTATATATACACACACACTCAGATACACACATACATAAAGGTATAAATGCAGGGGTGTATATGTGTACAGTGCTAGAGATGGAATGTAGGAATGTATTTGTGTTGGCATTAAAATGCTGGGATGTATGCATTACCACACACTCAGATGCACACTTACACACACACCGAAACACACACACAGGTGCACATACAGGTGTATGAGGTATACATACACACAGAAACACTGACACACAGACAAACACAGCCAGATACACACAAGGACATAAACACAGCCAGATACACACATATATATGTGTACATTTACATATTTTAATCTCTGCCTTCTAGCAGCTCTTGGACAGCAACTTCCAGCAACCTTGGCCAATATAATGTCTCAACTCTGTTCTTACATACCCTGGTCCAGAATTTGGCAAAAGTGACATTTGGAAATGGTATACAGCCTTTGATAACACTTGATGCAATAATATGTTAAAATAAATACTTTTTAAATTTATATTTAATAGGGAACTGTCAGGTTCTTCTAGGATTTTTAACATGTACTTATTCCCTGTGTGTTACATTACAAACACCAACACACTTAAATAAAAGTGATATCAGAAATTAGCAAAACAAAAAACAAAACATATTTAGCCACCCTCCTGTCTCCTTACATTTTGGGTACAGAAAGGTGGCTTCCCTGGTGTCCAGTGAGAGCTTGCTGGCCCAGGCTGATGGGAGTCTGCCATCAGCTTTCTCAGTCCCTCTCCCCCACAATGCTTGCATCCTCCTCCATGTGGTGTGTGCCTCCTCCCCAGCGGCACTGAGGAGGAAGTGATCAGTTCTTACTGGGAGGAAGCAATCTGACCTCACTTCCTCCCAGCATGCCCAGGAAACAAAGAGACTCACAGGGCAGTATGTGAGGGGGCTAGCTGTGAGTATGTAGTCAGCCACCCCCCATATAACAGGGGCCCGGGCCGGTCCAGAGCAGTATTAAAGGACTGTGGCCCCTGATTACCTCAGGTGCCGCAGGGGGCCCATGGGGCAGCTGCCTTAGGGCCCCCAGGAGTAACTGGGCCCGGGGCAGCTGCCCCTTTTGCCCCTCCTTAAAGACGGCCCTGACTCTAGCAAACATTGGCGCTCACATAATAGATTTGAAAAACTTCAAACAGAGGAAGAACACTATATAGAAACAAAGAAAAATCAAATCAAACCTAGTGAGAATGATTTTTTAGGACCAAGAAGCCGATTCCTCAGACAAAATCATCTAGAACCACCACCATCCAGTACCAGGAAGAGACCTTATCTAGAGGATGTGGGGGGAGGGGGAAGAGATACCGTAGAAGAAAAGAAAATGAGAAGGTAGAGGAAAAAGGAATTTTCAATTTGTCAAATATCACATTAACCAAACATCAAATTAAGGTATTAAATAGAGGCCTTAAATATGCCCCCACTATTAAATCTGGTCCATTCACAGCATTTTTGGATGTACAAAAATTTATCTTTAAAGAAATTCTTTGTAAATAATCCTATTCCACAGATCAGGACCAAAGAAGTTGATAATTTTCATCATACCACCTTAAAAAATAAATCCAAGTTTTGTCCAACAAACCAAATGAGTTGTCCAATGTCAGCTTTTCATTTGGCAGTTACCGCAGATATAGAGAAATTACCTAAAAGAATTTCGAAACATAAACAGAATTTAAACATTTTGGAAAAAAGAGCATTACAAAAGCTATGTGAAAATAGAGATATAACAGTGAAACCAGCGGATAAGGGAGGGGGGTTGTTATTCTCAACACCAAGGATTACGATATAGAATGTAGGAGGATACTTAACGACTCATTAACCTATAAACAATTACAGAAAGATCCTACTTTAGACATGAAAAAGACCTTATTTAATATTTTAGAAAAAGGAAAATTCTTAAACATACTAAGTAAAAAAGAATTGGAGTTTGTTATGGTTATCCATTCAATAAAACCTGTGTTCTACCAATTACCAAAAATTCACAAAAAACCTGAAGAATCCCCCAGGCAGACCCATAATTTCAGGGATAGGGTCCCTAACATGTAATTTATCACAATACATTGATGAGATCCTACAGCCCCTCGTGAAGAAAGCTAAGTCCTATTTGAGAGACAGTGGGGACTTGCTGAAAAATATAGAAGGCCTTAGACGGGAAGAAGACTTCATTATGGTGACATGTGACATCACATCCCTTTATACTGTAATAAAACATGATTTGGGAATTAAGGCAGTGAGGAAAACTCTATATGAAGACCCCACTAGAACAAGTAGAGTTCCTTATTGAATGTATAGATTTCATACTAAATAATAATTTTTTTTGGTATGAAAAGGACATTTATCTTCAAGTCAATGGCACTGCTATGGGGACCAGGTTTGCTCCCAGTTATGCTTATATATTCATGGCTCAATGGGAGAACTTGTTTATTTGGCAGGGCCATCAGTGGGGGGCGAACCTGGTCTTCTATAGACGGTACATTGACGACTGTTTTTTTGTTTGGAAAGGAAAAGAATCAGAGCTACTGAAATTTCTTGCCTATATTAATGATGAGTATAATTTGACTTTTACGTACAAATTCAGCCCCACAGAAATAGATTTTCTAGATCTAGTATTATACATAGACCAACAAGGGGTCTTAAAATCCAAAACTTTTTTCAAAAGTGTAGATGTGAATAGCTACATCTGGACTTCTAGTTGCCACTATCCCTCTTGGCTATCGGGAGTTCCCTTTAGCCAATTTTTGAGAGTGAAGAAGAACTGTACAGATCAGGATGTTTGCAATTAACAGCTAAAAAAAGTTAAACAACAATTTGTGGAAAAAATCCAACGAGAGTTGTTTAAAAACAGCTGTTCAGAAAATACAAACTATAGAACGCTCAACACTTTTAGCCAAAGAGGTAAAACAAAATAATACTATGGGAGATTTTTGCCCCCTAGTTTTCAACTACAGCACCCAGGCAGGTTTCCTGAAAAAAAGCATACAAAAACATTGGCACTTACTGTGTCAGGATCCGTTTTTAGTTGAAGTCCTACCTAAAAACCTAGGGTTTTAAATCAACAGCCACAAAAGAAATATTTGACATTAAAGAATGTATTACTTGTAATACGAAGCAAGTGATCTACATGTTGGAGTGCCTTTGTGGCCTCCAATATGTAGGACAAACGAAAAGAGTGTTAAAAGTCAGACTTAGAGAACATGTCTATAACATCAAAAGAGGTTTTGATAAGCACTCCCTTTCAAATCACTTTAAGACCCATCACAATAGTGACCCAACACTCCTTAAATATATTGGTATTCAAAAAGTAGAAATACCTTGGAGGGGAGGTGAACTAAACAAAATCTTAACCTACAGAGAAAGGTATTGGATCTATAATTTGAAAACTTTAGCCCCTTCAGGCTTAAATGCTGAGCTGGAATTAGCAAATATATTATAAATACACTTAATATCTATAAAGAAAGTTTGGACAATATATATATATTTTTCACCATTATTAGAATTTATTTGCATATAGTGTACAACAACATTCAAAATATGAACTTAAAACACACATCATATTTTTTGTGTGCATTTATATATTTTGCATTTATATATTTTAGAATGAGATGGGCATTGATTATTATTATATTTTTTAATTATTTTTAATATTATTTTAGAACAGAGAAGCCTCGGGATATATATATAGTATATCTATGTAATTATACATGTTCTACAGCAAGTATTGGTTTGTTTTAACATGTATAAATAAGTCTGTTTTATTGTGTATAAATTGTTCTAGTATGCACAAATTGTTTTTATGTATTGCTGCATTCAGGAGGATGTATAATCCACAATCTATCATTATGACATTATTACTTTTTCCTGTTATAAGATTTGTTGTGTATAAAAATGCATGTATCTTTAAAAATTCAAATGTGCTTTTCCCGGCAAAGGTATTTAACTGCCGATTAGCACACATAACACCTATCTTGAAAAAGCCCACCAAGAGGGGCGAAACGCGTTGATTAGGTGCTACATCATCCTGCATTTTATCTTGTTTTGCTGCTAACACTCTGCATGACACGTTTTTGTGCCAACCGGAGGCAGAATTACAAAGAGAAGAACTTTCACTGAATCCACAGCCTGCCTCAGTGCACAAGGCGAACGCTCCTTTCAGCTGCATACCGGACGGCATCCTTGAAGCAGAGGAGAGATAAGACTGCTGCCAGATAAGCTTTTATTGTGGTCCTTAGAGATAAGCACCACATTTTTCTTCTGTAAGGGTTCCTATGTTGGGGAGGGGGATTCCATTGCTGTTTTAAGACATTAAATACAGTAGTGCACTATATATACTTTATGTCTTTTTTAAGGGATTCAAAGTCAAAGATTGTGTTCCCAAACAACACTGTGGACCTCCTGTCACTTTGGACCCTGCTATATATTTTATACTGGACTGAGATACAATTTAGATTTTTTGTTACAATCTGATTGTTACTATCAGTTATATTGATACTCTTAACACTGCATGCTATTGCTGTTTCTAATTATTATAGATACATTTGTTAAGACATTTATTTTCTTATATTCCCCTTTTTTTACAATATTCAGGGGTTGACTATTTAGCGCTGAAAATTTGCTAAAGTAAACATCAATGCTAAAAAAACATTTTATCTACCTTATATAAAATTAATAAAAGAAAGATAAGAGGCAATTTTATCTCATATGCATCCCCTATTGAAATGGTTTCGATATATATAAAAAATATTACCTTATCCCACTGGGAGACTTATGGAAATAATTTAAGCTCAGATCTCTATATTAGAGATAGGCTATTATTATTATTATCATTTATATAGCGCCAACAGATTCCGTAGCACTTTACCATATTATGAGAGGGGGATTTAACTATAAATAGAACAATTACAAAAAACTTACGGGAACAATAGGTTGAAGAGAACCCTGCTCAATTGAGCTTACATTCTTTAGGAGATGGGGTGTAAAACACATTAGGACAGGAACTTGCAGTCAAATAAGGTGGGCTACCCTTTAGGAGAGAGCAAGAGACAGGTATGTGAGGTAGAGGTTAGTCTTGGAGGCCATAAGCTTTCCTAAAGAGATGGGTTTTAAGGCACTTCTTAAAAGATGCAAGACTAGGGGAGAGTCTGATGGCGGTAGGCAGGCTATTCCATAGGAAGGGAGCCGCCCACGAGAAGTCCTGCAAGCATGAGTTGGCCGTACGGGTGCGGACAACGGACAGGAGGTGGTCACAGGCTATGCACCTTTATAGATCTTCAGATAAAATACAATCTTCCATCAGCTGAATAATTCAAATACTTGTGCGTCAAAAACGTCCTGATTAGTAATGGATGCATGGGTCAAATCCATTTTATCATATACCCTCTTCAATCTAATTACTACAATTACCAATATATATATATATATATATTTAGAAATTAATATAACTAAACCCAATTATATAGAAAAATGGGAGCAAGAAGGCCAACATTCTTTACACATTTAGTTTAAGGCTTGGCAAAATACTAGGAAAGAAACCCACTGTTTCAGCTTAAAAGCACAATACTATAAGTTAACACATCGATGGTACTTAGTACCAATGCAGCTAAACAAATTTGATATAAAGAATTCTAACATATGTTGGTGCTGCAACTGCAAAATAGGTACCCATTACCATACATGGTGGGAATGTGATTCCTTAACTCATCTTAAACTAAAATTAGTAGAGATCTTTAAATAGTGGATCAATAATTCTTATGAATTGCTGCCTTAAACCTTTCTCTTTCATATGGATCAATTATCCAAATATCTCTTTATTAACATCTTATTAGCCTTTAAAATCTGCTTAGCTAGATATTGGAAAAAAACAAGAGGCTCTCTCACGGATGGAGATTTTGTCCCAAATCTCCTTTCAAGCTACAGCAGAAAGTTTTTTTTGTTTTTTTTAATAGGGATATCCAGATGAAAGAGAAATACAATCAGATCTGGTTACCATGGAATACTCTTCCCTTCAATAAATGTCCTGTGAATACAAATATTACATACTTTAATTGATCTATGCAATTGGATCATGCATCCTATCATGCTCGGAGAGATAATTTAACTATGAATATATGAGTAAATATATCTAACAAACTCAGTTCCTGGATCGTAGCCTGCCATTGAATTGATAATTTTAGGTTTTATGTTGTATATTTTATTATATGTTACATATCTAAACAGCACTTGTTCCCATTTATACTCAAGAATTTGTATAAATAATTTGTAATAAAAAAATCTTGCAATGAAACAAATATGGAAAAGTAAAATATCCTAAATAAAGAATTATATAAATGAAAAGGAAATAAATAAAAAATCCCGCCTCTAAACCAGCATGAAATTGGAGGCTTAATAGTTCCCTGTTGAAAGGCACTATGATCCAAAAACAAATATAAAATAAGATTAAAGACTACTTACTAACTAATAAAACCCTAACTATGTCAGAAACTACAGTTTGGACGGCCCATAAGACAGTCTTTTGTCTCACATTGATTAAAATGGACACACATCACAAAAAGATTAAGGCGGAGAGGCTTCTGGAACTCCACAAGACAGAGACACAACATAATCAGGACCCAACTCCCCAGAAGCTGAAAGAGCTCAGGACCATCAGATATTTACTGAAAGATTTAGCCTTGGAGGAAGTAGGGACATCGTACACTTCAGAATACTTTTTTATGAAAGGTCAAACAAAATGGATACCTAGGAAGGTTAAACAAAATTGCTAGTGAGAGTTCTTAAGCCTAGACAGAAAACAAGATTAATCACAGCCATAAAAAAAATAACATGGAACATACGGTTACCACTCCTGAGGAGATTGGTAAGGTTATCCAGGAATACTTTTTAAAGGTCTATAATCACTCGCCTCACCTAACTCAAGGCAATATAGGATACATGGGAGCAATCCACGATTTTTTAGACAAGACTATGATTCATCCGGATCAAGTGGAGTTTATGCCCAACAGACAACTATATGAAATAACTTGCAGAGGAGCAGATTTTTTTATGGTAGGCACATAAAAACAAACTGCCTTCTCTGGTGGAGTGGGTGTTATGGCCTTACATGTTCAGACTTTTAGAACATCTGGGACTTCTGGCCACCTTCATACATGTGGTCACTTTACTTCGCTCTCAGGGTCCAAATGGTACTCCTCAAACATTTGCCATGGACAATGGCAGGGGTGTCCCCTCTCACTACTACGGTTTGTTTTGGCATGAGAAACCTCGTGGATAGGAAGTTTACACTATCAAAATTAATTTGTTGCCAAGAATATTATTTCTATTCCAGGCACTACCTATCAGAGTCACTAAACAGGACCTTACACATTTGCAAAGATTTTATATGGTCCAGAAAGAGGCACAGACTATTAAAACCCTTCCTACAGCAACCCAGGTCAGGAGACGGACTTGGTTTCCCAAACATATATAAATATTATTTAGCCGCACTCAAATAGTCATGTGGCATTTTACCCCAGAGAAATACAGATGGGCAGATCTAGAGTCCATTATCATGTGCTCAGACCTCCCTCAATTCTGGATTTTGGTGCCAAAACAGGATTGACCACAAGCCTGACCATATTAAATTCCATAAGAATTTGGGACCTAACCACTATCAAATTTGAACTCATGCAAATACCCTCACCACTCACGCCTTATCTGTGAAATAAAGCATTTAACAGTCAGAAATTCTATGTACTGGAAACCGCGGGCCTACAGCTATGTGCATCTATATGATGCAGGTAACTTGCATTCATTCCAAGGCCTTCAGCAAATGCCTTCACTGACCCACGTGAATCTTTTTGAAAGACTTTGCCAGGTCTTATTAGCAGCACAAAGGGCCCTGGCGCAGAGGTGGCTGGGCACCGAGATCCCTGTTAATGATCACATCATACTAAAGCTTAGGTCTGGCAGCTGTGGAAGTACTATGAGGGGATCTAATGCTAAGGAACCATAGGAAAGGGGCAATCGAGTGGAGGAGGGACATATATATATATATATATATATGTATCGTAGATTGGATTAGCCGTATTAGTTCAGTAGACAAGATGCCAAATGATCAAACTGATTAGAAGAGAAACACAGACCAACAATTACATATCTTCTTATGTAAGTGTTAAACTCTATCAGATTGATCAGTATTGCTTCAGACCTGAGGAAGAGAGGAAAACTCTCGAAAGCTTGTCTTTTAAATATTATGTTAGTCCAATAAAAAAGGTATCCTTGCATACTGCAATACTCTGGTATTTTGGCAAAATATATATATATATATATATATATATAAAATTTTATGTTTTTCTCTCTCTCTCTCTCTCTCTCTTCTCCTTAGCTACATTCCTGAAACCTATTTTCTCTGCCTTTTCTTATCTATCTCTAATTTTCCTGTATTCTGTTAACACTCTCCAATGAGAGAGTACATATACTTATAAAATAGATAAAAGGAAGTAACGGTTTAGATGACATATAGACAGTGAAGAATTTTATACGACAATGTGAAAGGTGCATCAGCAAACTTTGCAGACTATTTGTTGAATAATGCTATGCCTTCTGAATATGTATAATTTCTCATTTTTTTCTTTGTCATACCTGACACGCATAACTAATGTTACTTGAATGCTTTACTGTGCTCTCAAAATAAAGAATAAAAAAAAAATAGTTTACAAAAACGGGGGACTACCATAAGTTTAGCATAAAAGCTTATACATAGATATTGCAGTTCAATAAAATATATACAGATAAAAATCAATTTATATGAATAGTGGCATTCCCTTGTGTCTCTAGAATTTCATTTTCTGGATGTTAAAGAACCACTATAGGCACCCAGACCACTTCAGCTTAATGAAGTGGTCTGGGTGCCTGGTCCAGCTAGGGTTAACCCTTTTTTTATAAACATATTATAAATGGGTTAATCCAGCCTCCAGTGGCTGTCTCTTGACAGCCGCTAGAGGTGCTTGCGTGCTTCTAACTGTGAAAATCACAGTGAGAAGACGCCAACGTCCATAGGAAATCATTGTGAATGCTTTCCTATGGACTGGCTGAATGCGCAGCCGGCTCCTGCCGCGCATGCGCATTCAGCCGAAGAGGAGGAGAAGAGGGAGGAGAGGAGGAGGAGAGCTACCCGCCCAGCGCTGGAGAAAGAGGTAAGTTTAACCCCTTCCTCTCCCCAGAGCCCGGCGGGAGGGGGTCCCTGAGGGTGGGGGCACCCTCAGGGCACTATAGTGCCAGGAAAACGAGTATGTTTTCCTGGCAATATAGTGGTCCTTTAAATGTTCAATTACATGACATACAAGTTTGCAGAAGTGTCCAGTTTGGCACTATGGATGTGAGAGAAAACAGGTATAGCAGGTGTGAAGAAAAAAATAAAAATCTTACTTTTTACAAGACGAGTCCAAGTGCAATCTTCTACTCTCACTTTCCACATTATTTCAGACAGGGAGATTTTTTCATATTTGACGGAGTAAATTATGTTCTTTACATTTTTCAAGAAACACCATTTGTTGTGACTTGAGCCCCACAACTCTTCAGGAACTATGCTTTGCAAACATTCTCTAACAAATGAATACACTTCCCAGACACCGCTATGCAGCTTAAGAAGTATTAACAGGTCAAAGTCATGTGTAATAGTTTTCTTCTTTTTTACAAGTTCAGGAGTGCTCTTGTTAGCTCCAGTTTTCAGACATGATGGAGAATTTGTAGCCTCAATAGTTATTTTACAGGTTTGGCTACAGTTATATAACGAAGAGCATTGTTCAGCATCACTTATCACATCATTAAAGGTTTGCATTGTACTAGACCCAAGCTCAAGGTTTGCAGAAGTATTTTGTAGCCATTCTATTTGGTAGGAGCACATTCTGGAAAATCTTACAGGACAATTTTTCTTTAATATTGTCAAATAAGGGCACTTCTTATGGTTTTGTATTAATTCTTGAAACAAATACCTCATTTGCCAGTAACGTTTGGGGAGTTTTTTCTCACCCAATCTTTCAAATGGATATGGCTTTTCATATTGGGTCTCAAACATACAATTACTCATAAAGATAGTTTGGAGAAGTTTTTGACTTCCATAAGAACTACTTTCTAATTTATTCAGTATAAAATGGCCAGGAAATGTTGTTTTAGATATTCTACTGGAATACAATGTACTTCCAAAATCAATATAAATTTTTGAAGGTGAAATTTTACTTAGTTGTGGGAAAACAGATCTATATGCTTCCTTAGGGTATATATCTTGGGGTATAATTTCATTGCATAATTTATCCTGATTTTTTTTATATACTTGCTGATGTGACCCATATGTGCTGGTAAGGAGACATTTTGTATAGCTCTCAAAATAATGATCAGGAGTTAAAAATGGGTGACATGTTTCTATAAGTCCCTTGGTTTTAAGATCCATATCAACAAAAGACAAAGTCTTTGACTGGCTTTCATGCATCAGTCTCCTGCATTTCTTAGAAACATCATAAATATCCATACTTTGCCGTTTCACAATTCTGAATGGTGCTGTCATCTCCAAGATGTTTTTTTTGCTTCTTTGCAATGTATGACTACTCCAGTAGTGGCACACTTCAATGTCTTTGTTTTTTTCCATATGTTTCACATGCATCTGCCGTGCTTTGTTAGTAGTTTTATTTGATAGTTTTCTTTTCTTTAAAGAACAGTTTTTAAATGGTGAAATTTTCTTTTGAACATAATTAAATAAAACATTTTCAGAAATTGGATCATGCCTTTGTTTGACCCATGCAGGACAACAATGATGATAATTTGTAATGTTATATATTGGTTGTCCACTTATTTGGTAACAGCAGCTTGGTGGGACTAGCATAAACAGTGAACAGTTCTCAAGTAAATGCATCATAACATCATCACCTATCCGGCTGAGAAGAGTCTCCCACAGTATGCTGTTGCTTACAGTTTCTGTTGTTGTATTTGGGAAAAAAACACAAATATTTGGAGTGAACTTAACATGTGACAAGCGGTTTTCATCTACTAGCCCATAACCAAAGGCAAGAACATTCCTTTCCTTTTTTTCACAAATCCTTTTAATTACACGAGCTACAATTTCACTTTGAGATGAAAACTGTGAAGAAAGAGGGAGAATAAAACAAAATTATAAAAATGAATATAACAGTTCATATTGTATTTTTAATACAAGGTGTAACATTATTTTACGGTTTTAATCTTCATTATAGTAGCATTCATTTGTGGTTTGCACTTGTCATACTATTGCTAACCATAGAGGGCTTGCTTGATAATGCGCTATTGCATAAACTATGTCAAAAACAAAACACTCATTAACCCCTTAAGGACACAGCTTCAGAAGCTGGACATCCACTTGATGAATTGTTTGCTGTTTGTGTTCAACTGCAATTTGCATCTCTCTCGTTTATTGTACCAGCACATATTATATATTGTTTTTTAGAGAAAATGGGCTTTAATTTGATGGGACATATACATATATAAATTCTCATTTATTATAAAAAAGCAAAAAAGGGGCATCCCCCCACCCCCAAGTATTGGCAATAATAATGTGTGCATAATATGTCCAGCATAGGAAAAGTAATTCATTTATCTGTCTTGATTTACAGAGTACATAATATGTGTAGGATTTCAGTTTGTTTTGACAGTTACAGGTCACAAACTACAAGGACTAAAATTTGATTTCAATGTGAAACAATTTTAGAAGTTGGCATGTTTGTCTTGGAAGTTAAATACCCATCACAGAAAACAAAATTGCTGCACAAAAATATATATTTATATAAAGTAGACATCTAAGACTATTTACCTAAGGTTATTTTGACACTTTTTACCACTTTTTCTCTGTTTTGGCACATGCACATTACAAGGTTTTTGTAATGTGTATTTTGTAAAGCTGGTGTGTGCTATTCCTGTACAAAAAAAAACATATTGTGTTCAACTACATCTGCTAAGTACAACGATACCTCCATGCTATGTCTTTGCCAATATTTTGAGAAGCTACAATGCCATATAGGAGACCATGCTACTTCAGTTTCTATAGTTAGAATTTTCGTGCATGGTCCTACGTCTGAATTTTTTGCATTAAAGGAGTTTGACTGTTCAAATAACCCCACAAAGGCCTTCCATTTGAGAAAGCAGATATTTCAGGGTATATTATCAGGCATATATTATACCTTAACTTGCCACCATTTCACCAATTTATTTCAAATTTTGTGGCGAGAAAAAAAAAAAAGATTTTTTTTTTTTACATACATGTTGCATTTTTGCTGGTTATTTTGTACATTTGATAAGTGCCACTGTCATAAATTCTCCATACGTATGCTCAGTTACCTCTTCTGAGTAAAACAATATGCCCAACGTATGACCTAGATGCTATTTTGTTAAGATACAGGGCTGTCAATTTCAGATTTGTAAGTGTGAAGTTTCATTGATGGTTTTTATGGGTCCATGTTCTATTTTGAAATATTTTCGCAAGCTGCTTACTCCAACT